TTGAAAACTCATACTTTCTAGTACGATCATTTAATGGTTAGTACTTGGTAGCTCCATCCCAGGGATTTTAATATACTATGTTCTCCTTTTTATTTAATTTGAATTTTTTGGTCTCAGTTAATCTTTGACCCATGGGTTCTTTAGAAGTGGGTTGTTCAGGTTTTAAACTGTGAGGGATTTCCCAGACAGTTAGCTAAATTCCATCATAACCAGAAAACAGACTCTGCATGCTTGCACTTCTTTGAAACTTGGTATGTTTGGGGTTTTATTATGGCCCTGAATATGACCTATATTCCACGTGCACTAGAAAAGATTGCGTGTTTAACCATTGTTGAAGGAAATGTTTCAATAGTGCCAAGTAAGTTGATTTGATTGGTAGTTTTCCTTGGCGTTCCTTCGAGATCCTTTTGACCTTGGTTATGTTGTTTTAGAGAAGAACATTATTGTGGCAGTTACATAAATCTCACGTCAACTTGTGAAGGGGTGGAGTCTAGCCTGTCAATCAGGTCGCAGCTTGATGACCTAATTTTGGAGGTGCGGCAGAGATAAATAGCTCACTAGAAGCCAGACACACTCACTCTCTGTTTCATCTCCCTGTGAGACATTCCTGTTGACAAGCCACATGGAGCTACACTGATGAAGCCAGAGCCCTGGAGCTGGAGGAGCCACGTGGCGAAGCACCACCACTGAGATGCTTCCACCGCCAGTGGATACACAAGACTTTCCACCCACTGGCCTGTAATCTTCCTGCATTTAGCATCAATGCGTGTGTTGCATGTGTCTGAAGATGAAGTTATAGATTGGCATCGGACATATAGGCTAATATCGGACTTATGGACTTGATCTGGACTGGGCTGTTTTAATATACGATGACTCTTTGATATAAAGTTCTCTATTACACACATATGAGTCTCCTTGGATTTGTTTCTCTAGTCTATCCAGACTAATGCCGTTATGGTTGCCAACTCTAGTGTGGAACTTCATTTCTGCTTTTATGAATCTTGAAGCTCTATTGTTATACAAACACAACAAAAAGCTCAACCTCATTGCCATTGAGTCAAATCTGTTCTTCGAGACCCTATAGGACAAAGTAGAACGGCCCTTTTGAATTTCCCAGGCTACCAATCTTTCCAGGAACAAACTCTCATCTTTCTGCATGCACCAGGGCTCGCTCTATTATGTACACAATATTCAAGATTGTATGTCTTTTTTTGTGAATTGATCCTTTTAGCCCTGGTACTATTCCTTGTTCTGAATTCTTTAAAAAAAAAAATTTATTGGCACTTCATCTACATATCATACAGTTTAATAGTTCAATCGTATTAAGATGAATCGTAAAATCATTACCACAATAATTTTTTGAACAATTTCAAATTCTTTATTGATATTAATATAGCTAGTCAAATTATTTTGGTTAGTTTTAGCACAGCATCACTCCCCCTCCGCCCAATCTTTCTTCTTATTCATAGTCCTATATTTAAAATGTTTTTGTAGATGGCATTTAGCATTTTTTAATCCAATCTGATAGTCTGTGTTGTCTAAGTACTGTGTTTAGTATATGTGCCGCTGAAGCAAGCACATCTAAGTAGTGTTTAGATCATTAAACTTAATGCAATGACTGAAATAGTTTATTTAAACCTACCACTGTACTAATTGTTTCTTATTTCTTCCATGTGTTAGGTGCTCATTTCTCCCTTGCTTTGGGATTTTACTCAACTGCTAACTTTATACCATTTAAAAATAAAGTTAAATGGGTCCACCAGTGTAGCTACATGTGGCTTGTCAACAGGAAGATTTAAGGAGCAGAGTGAGTGTGTCTGGCTTCTAGGGAGCTGTTTTTTTTCTCTGTCACACCTCCAAATTGAGGTCATCAAGCTGCAACCTGATTGATAGGCTTACAATATACATCTTTTAACTTATTACAGTCCATAAATAATATGATGACAATGTATGTATCACAAAATACTTCCAGTTTCTGCTTTGTGTTATGGTATGGTTACATTCCACTTTACTTCCATATATGCTATCAATTCACAAAACCTTGTTCCTATTTTTGCTTAATTCGAAATAAGAAAAAAGCATTATATTTCCCTTCATTTATTTTTTTGTACAGCCTGGCCTATATCTCTATGACGTTCTTTCTGTCAGTAGAAATTGCTTCAATATTCTTTAATATTTTTTTGCAGTACAGATCTGCCAATAATGTTTCTGATCAAAAGCCTCCCATGTCTCATCTTTGTTCCTTGAATGTAATGTGTTCTTTTTCTCAGCCTGCTATCAATATTTTCTAATATAGACTCTCTAGGACTCACTTTCAATAGTTTGACAATAATGTGCTCATTCATTTTGAAAACCTTGCTCAGGGCACTCTAAGTTTTTTGGATCTGGTTGAAGTCTTTTAAATTTTTAGAAAATTTCCTACCATTTTCTCTTCCTCACTTCCGGAGTGCTTAATAATATTTTTTAGACATATCTGTTTTGGATGCTCTTTTCTGTGTGCTTTACTCTTTTGTGTTTTAGTTCAGGTAATTTTTTTTTTGGGGGGGGGGTGTCCGTCGTCAAGTTCTTTGACATGTTCCTCAGGTATGTTTATGAGCAGTCATTAATGTTCTGCCATTCCTCATTGGATTCTTAATGTCCATTGCTTATATGTTCACGTATATTCTTTGCTCTGTTCACTACAGCCTTTAATGTGTAATCTGCTATGTAAAACTTCCTGATAATTCTAAAATCTGGGTCATCTCTAAGTCAGAGTTTTTTTAATTCTTCTGTCTCATGGAAGTATTTTAAATCTGTATCCTTTTAACTGAATGCGTGATAACAAGAAGACTGGACACTGAAGTAAATAGAATTTTTGTTTGTTTACTGGAAATGAGCATCTGTTCTAATAGGATGTTAGGGTGGAGTGTTGCCTCAATCTGTTCAGGAACTGAGCAGGATTTGGGCTTTGCTGTCACAACGATTATTCTCAGTGTACCACTGGCTCCACATGTCTAGCTTTGCTTTGTACTTAGGGAAGGGACTGGGATGCTGCAGGATTTTCTGTTGTTCCACAAAGGGATGGTCTGTCTCCATTGCCGCCCTTCCCCCCAGCATATACTGCAGTAGCTCATCAATAGGGACAAGCTAGTTTCTCGGTGGGCATCAGAGGTGTTATCTGTTGTCTTGGTATATGCTTAGTCTTAAGTGGGTATCAAGTAAACCTTACGCGTTTCAAAAGGTGCCCTGTTGTTATCATGGGTTGAGCATTAGGTTGCTAAATGCAAGACTAGTGATTCAAACCCACCAGCTGCTCCACCGGAGGAAGATGAGATTTTCTGCTCCCATAAAGATGTGCAATCTTGGAAACTTTATGGGCTAGTTCTACTCTGTCCCATAGGGCCACTGTGAATTAGAATCAACTCAATGGGGCATGCATTTGAAGGAGCCAGAACTACACAACACTGGAGTGAGATACAGGCTTTGTCCCTGGGCTGTGAACAAAAAAGTAGGCAATGTTGCCATATTGTGACCAATCTGGACTTTATACCTGAGGACAGAACTGTGAGAATTAGATGAAATTGATGGAGAGCCTGGAATGACCCAGACCCAACTCCTGCCCCATCTGCATTCTTTTCATTTATGTAAATTAATTTTTTTAAGCAAAAGGGAAATTTATTGGAGCCCATACAGGAGACCCTAAAGGGGCCCAGCATGCCCTACTGTGTAGGCATGCCCAGCAAAGGGTCACACTGTTCACTGTACCCCATGTCCCAGAGGGACTCCCCTTGAGCCGAGCCCCAAAGCCCCAGGACTGGCTGGGGGTGGGGACTAAACTAATTTTTTAAAGCAACTTTGAGTCAGGTGTCCTGTTACAACTAAAAGTATCTTAAGTCATTAAGATAATACATCCTCACGGATAATGAATTTTCATTATCTTGTTTTGGAAGTGATTCACAGCAAAGAAATCCATTAGTTACCCAGAATTTTTGGATGATGCTCTACAACTTGAACTAGAACCTCGGAAGCCAGAGGAAAGTACTGCCTTGATCATCCTGCTCAGTCAGTTGGAGGGATCAAATTATGAATTGTTCGACACAAAGGCCTAGAACTTCAGTCATTTATATTTCTGCTTTTCAGGCACTATGCTAGGCAACGTGTTACTTCCACTGCCCTGCTAAAATTCCCCACCTGTTCATGAAAATAGACTCTAAAGGCAATATGGAAGCTACAAATGAGCATTATGCCTGTGACATGTATTAAGAAAGTACTTGTCGTTTGTAGCTATTTCTGACATTTTACAAATAGTAAAACTTTGCTTTAAAACACAGGATGACAAGTGAAAATCCAGTCATGTAAAATGCTATGTGGTTTTGAAAAGTTAACCAGAAAACACTGTTGATCAGGTTTTTGCTGTCATTTAAAGCACACACAGAGAGATACATTTAAACTGATGGTTCATTGTATAGGAAGAAACAAAAGGTTAAGAAATCAAGCAAATCTCTAAAGATGATAGAGAGAATGGTAACTAATCCTGATAGTTACAAGCAAATTCATGTTATTTTAGATTGCAATGTTGCTTGATGTTCTACATTCCAAATAGTTATTTGAAGTGATTATATTAAATTATTTGCAGGATCCTTCCTCCAAATACATTTTAAAATGTGTTTTGGGGGAAATGAATTTAATAAAAATTTCAAACATGGTTGTACAAACTTTTACTCATTTAAAAAAAAGTACTGAGCATCCACAATGAGTTATGTAATGTCTCGGTTTTATAGGCTTAGCAATGAAAATAGCTTCCCTTGTGAATATACTTTCTGGTGACATGGATTTAGGCATGTTCATCACCGTATTTTTGTGAAAACCTTAGTTCTTGTACAATTGCTATTTCAGTCCTGACCAAATTCCTATGGAACACTTACCATTAGGTGTCTCTGCTGCATGATCTCCTAACCATTGTGACTAATGAATTTGAGTAGAAACATTATATTTTTGTTCAAATAAAGATTAATGAAGTAGAAAATTTAGTTTTTTTATTGTTGTTTTGGTAACTAAGACTTCTAGTGATTGGGAAATTTCAGCTCCCATTTGAAGACTTAGAAACAAACCCCCCAAACTACAATTGTACAGAATCTTCATTTCTATGCTGTGGATTCTCAGATAAAGGATAATCCTTACTGCACCCTTCAGTTCTACAGAATTTATCATTGTGGACTCTCTGATGAATCAGAAGACCTGAGCTCCAACGGAAACCCTTACCACATGCTTCACATTCAAATGGTTTTTCTCCTGTGTGGACTCTCCGATGTGCTTGGAGGTTGGATCTCTGGCTGAATTCCTTTCCACATGCCTCACATTTGTATGGCTTCTCCCCAGTGTGGACTCTGTGATGGGCTTGAAGACTTGAGCCCCCACTGAAACCCTTACCACATTGTTCACATTTATAGGGCCTTCCTTCTGCATGGACCCTCTGATGTGCTTGAAGGCGTGAACTCTCACTGAAGCCCTTTGCACATACCTCGCATTTATATGGCTTCCCTCCCGTGTGCACCCTGTGATGGACTTCAAGGCGTGAACTCTGACTAAAGCCCTTGCCACACATCTCACATGTATATGGTTTCACTCTTGTGTGGACTCTCTGATGGCCTTGAAGATATGCTTTCTGACTGAAGCCTTTCCCACACACCTCACATACATACGGTCTCTCTCCAGTATGAACTCTCTGATGACTTTGAAGGTATGATCTCTGACTGAAGCTCTTCCCACACTCATCACATTGGTATGGCTTCTCTCCTGTGTGGACTCTCTCATGGGCCAGAAGAGTGGAGGCCTTACTGAAACCCTTTCCACATTCTCCACATTTATAAGGTTTCTCTCCTGTGTGGACCCTCTGATGAATCTGAAGATTGAAGTTCCAACTGAAGCCTTTCCCACACTCCTCACATTTGTATGGTTTTTCTCCAGTGTGAACTCTCTGGTGGCCTTGAAGGTGTGAACTCCGACGGAAGCCTTTCCCACATTCCTCACACTTATATGGTTTTTCTCCCGTGTGGACTTTCTGATGGCCTTGGAGGTAGGAATTCCGGCTGAATCCCTTCCCACACTCCTCACATTTGTATGGCTTTTCTCCGGTGTGGACTCTCTGATGAGCTTGAAGGTATGCACTCCGGCTGAATTCCCTACTGCATTCTTCACATTTATAAGGTTTCTCCCCTGTGTGGACTCTCTGATGAACTTTAAGGATGGATTTATGACTGAAGCCTTTGCCACATGCATTGCATTTGTACGGCTTTTCTCCAGTGTCGACTCTGTGATGCTCTGTAAGTTTTGAACTCCAATGGAAGCCATTTGCATACTTCTTATATGGTTTCTCTCCAATGTGGATTTCCTGAGGGCCCTGAAGAAAGGGAATTGGCCTGAAACCATTACCGTATGAATGATGTTTGTACGGTTGTTCCTTAGTGTGGACTATCTGAAGGTCCTGAAAGTGTGAAGCTAGACTGACGTCATCATCAACTTCCTTAGAATTACAGAGATTCTCTTCCATGCGAACTCTGTGAACGGTAAGATTTGAATAACAAACTAAGCTCTCCCCACACTCTGCAGTCGCACGGAGTTTCTCTTCAGAGTGTATTTTCTGATGAGCCTGAAGACAAGGGCTTTGATCAAAAGCACACCCATTCTCGTATTCGTGGAGTTCTTCCCTAGTATGGACCCTCAAAATACTATTAAGATCTGTCCTGGGTCTGAGGGTTTTCTCACCAATGCTGCATTTATTGGACATCTCTCTTTTGTGAGACAGCTCAGCAGTGTTGTGAGAATACTGACTGAACTTCTCACCATCCTCACATTTGTGAGGTTTCTCGGCTGTTTGCCTTCTCTGGTGAGACTGCAGGTGTGAACGCTCCATAGCACAGCCATCTCCTCTGGGATGAATACTGAGAACGGAGCTCAAACTGAAGTCCTTTCCACACTGGCTGTACATAGGAGGCTTCCCTTCTAAGTGGAACTGCTGATGAACTGGTGAGCTGGGGTCACCATCGAAGGCTTTCCTATACTTATTATACCAGTAGGGCTTATGTTCCATTGGAAGTAAGTTTTGATTAAGAAATGATACCTTCATGATATCTTTTCTACAATCCTGGCAGCTGTAATTTTTTTCTGGTTTGCGTATTCCCAGATTGTCATCGTGATTAGGGTTCCAAGTGATGTCACACTGATAGAAATGACTTTTCATGGGACTTTGCTGACATCTACGCTGGTAATTGTGTAGCTCTGTCAGATACATTTTCTTCCAAGAATGCAGGCCTCTCCAAGAAGGAAAGTCTTTGTTTTCTGTGTAATTGGAATCACTCCTTTTATGAGCCAATATGTAGTTCTCAGCTAAAATCTGAATTGGTATTCCTGCCCAATCCTGGAAACAGGAATCACTTTGGTTTTGTGATGGAAAGTTATCTTCTGAAATATTTCCTTGGGAAGCTTGACACCTGGTTAGTGTGCTTGCATCCTGCTGCCAGGCCTTCCAGGGGGAGATTTCTCTGAAGCAAAAGTAATTTAATCCCACTTCTTGAATAGGCTCCGTCTTATGCTGATTCTTGCATTCTGTAGGAATAAAGAGAACCCAGAAATGTGGATAATTGCTCGTTTTATCTCAAGATTTTACACTTTTGATCAGAATACAAAACTTGAATAAACCAGAGGAAAATTCATGTATAACCTCTAAGGACACTGAGAAAAATCCCCTTCTTTGCCTATATCATGTTATTAAAAGTAGGATCTACAGAATTCAGGCTATCTGTATGCTTCAAAATGAGGGCTCTGCTCTCCACTCTGGACATCAGGACAGGGTGGTTTCTGTTCAAAAGGCCTAATAAAATGGTACACATGGGTTTATCATGGGTTGCTTGGAGATCCCAAGAAAAACTTTTCAAATTAGAAAGAACATAGTTGTTTATGGATAAGTGCTTTTTGACCTGATCGTAACTTTTTCTTTTTCTCTCTGCTGCAGAGGCATGGTAAGTTTTTATATGTTAACTGTTGTGCTGAAGAAAGGAGACAAAGGCCTTTAATACATACTGGAAGCACTCCGGGGCTTCTACATAATGAGCAATTCGCCTGCATGAAAATAATGAGCTCTCCTAAGCCACCGTTGCTTGTTAATCAGTTTTCAATCTCATTTCATAAGTGATTTGACAATTACCAGGGCCATGACAGAGTTCCGAATGGGAAACTGATGCTATTCAACTAAAAAAAACCATGAAAACATTTTTTTACAGGGCTGACAGTGCAGTACTGTTTCAAGGCGCTTGGTGGTCTCTGAATCAACTTTTCAGCCATGAACAACAACTTAAGGGACACTGACTGTGGCCAGACCAATGGCTTCAACGCTTCGGGAATTTGAGGCAACAGAATAGTTGCTATGATAGAAATAGCGTCTCAGCTGGTTATGAGAGCTTAGATTAGAAGCAGATAGACCTTCACATCATGGTGAGAAATATCCTCCGTGAGAAAAAAATGTTTAAAAAGAGTTGCAGTGATGACATCTATCGAGTGTCTCTTGAATCCAGAGGCAAATCATCAGAAAGGGGTTTGTTTTTCAAACATAAATGTTATCCTCTAACATCATAACTCTTCCTTCTGTCTATTTGTCTTTCTTTCCACACTGGACAGTGACATCCATAAGGACAAGCACTTTGTGCTCATCACAGTCTTCACTACCTATAACACTGCCTAGGAAATTGCAGTCATTTTTGAAACTTTAATTTTGGTGGCTAGCTCTTCTTATCTTTTAGGAATAATGACTACCAATATATGAATATCCAAGGATTCGGATACACATTCATCACGTACAACAACTTGAGTATTCACCAAAGACATTGGTTTATTCTGCAACCATTAACTATCTCACGAATAACCAAGTAGTCCACCTAGCTATCTATTAACCAATTCACTGATCTGAGGCAAAAAGAAGGGCGCATCAAGGAACGTGAAGCAGAAGCAGAAGTGACAGTCGTGGTGGGCCCAACCAGGGGGTAGTGCAGCTGGAGAGAATGAACAAAAATAGGAATAGAGTTGAGGAACAGGCACCTTAGGGTCTAACTGGCCCTTTAGGTATTTTCAATTAGACTTGGCATGAAATAGAAAACCACTGGGGAGTTTTAGATGGAGAAGGGACATGTCTGACGGCATGTGAGATGGGCTCTTGGGCTACTGTGCTACTGAGGCACGGTACTCACCTGAACGCCCATTTCTTTGCGCCTCTGTCTCCACATTCAGCAGCTTTTCCTCTCTCTCCAGCCAGGATATCAGGTCTGGTTTGAAGGGTTGGTGCCCTGTAAAAAGGCAGGCAGGTGAGCAGATGGTTTTAATTGGGATGAAGCTCATTATTCAAGTTTTCCCTTTTTTCTCAGTCATGTTTTTGATGCTGTTGGCCTAAACCAAGGCTATGAAGACTTCTTATGTTTCCTTTCCAGAGTTTCATAATTTTATATTATGCACTTGGTCAACATGGCCAAAGTTTTCCAGCGCTATCTGTTGAAAAATGATACCTTCTCCACTGAATTACCTTGATACCTGTAGTTCATCTAAAACCGTTTCAGAATTACTTCTTCCATACAACTCCAATAAATTAACAAGTATTTCTGACTGAAGTACATTTTCCTGTTTCCCTTCCCATTGTACCCCAGCCTATGGGTATACAGTTATGTATAGTGTTCTTTAGCTGCTATTTTTTTTCACAGTGCTTATAATATTAATTGCAAATGCAACTGACTTCATTTGACTTGCCTCTGAGTTTTACTTGATGGTCCCTTACTTTTTTTTTGAGCTGTTGAATAACCTATTTCCAAATGTCTAAACTTGAACATGCTGAAATGGCAAATATTTGTTGACAGCAGTGGGTTTGGAGCTTCAAACAAGTGAGCACACAAACACACACCCCCACCCTGGGCCCCCAGAGGTTCCCATTGAGTTACAGAGAACGCCTGTCCTCACCCACAGAAAGCAGGTTGCGGAAGTTCTCCAGCATCACGTCTCTGTATAGCGTCCTCTGGGTGGAGTCCAGCAGCCCCATCTCCTCCTCGGTGAAGACCACAGCCACGTCCATGAATGTCACTGCTTCCTGCAATGCCAAACACACATGACCTCCTTCGTTACGAGAATGAACACGACACTGCGTTAGTGTATGTCTGGGAAGCCGCTGTGGATTAAAATAAACACAAAAGCAAAAAACAAACACTCCCTGTGAATTATTGACCTTTTACTTTTGTTTAAGAGAAAGACAAGGCTTTCTACTCCCTTTAAGGGTTACAGCCTTGAAAACCCACAGGGTCAGTTCTGCTCCGCCCAATATGGTCACAATGAGTTGGAATCGACTCGATGGCAGTGAGTTTGGTTTGGGGGGTTTTGTTTGTTTGTGTCACTATTTTCTGTCCACAGGCTTTTAAATTCCTGAGGATGCAAAAAAATGGCAAGAAACCTCAAGAACTTTAAAGTCCATGAACAGGAAATATATGTGTAGATAGATAGATAGAATAATTCACTCAGATAATATTAACCCACTACCAGCAAGTCAATTCTGATTCCTAATGATCTTACAGGACAGAGTAGAGCTGCTCCATAGGGTTTCAGAGGCTATAAGTCCTTATGGCAACAGATTGGAAACTCTTTCTCCCCTGAGTTACTCATGGGTTACAATTGTCAATCTCTGTTAGCAACTGAGCATTGAACCCTTGTGTGATCAGGACGCCTTAAAAAAGTACAAGAATTCATTGAAATAATATTGAGATGGCAATTAAGTATAAGATTAAGTGACAAAGGTTCCATATTACATCTATTTTTCCATTTTTGAATTTTGCTATTGTTAAGCATATCAACCAATCGAACTTCTACATGCACAACTTGGCGAACGTGAGGACATTCTGTGAGTTGTGCAGCCAGTCTTACCCACCCACCCCTTTCCGATTTGCTTTCCCCGCTCACATCAACTCACTGTCTTCTAAATTTCCTATAGAATCTGTGAGCTGCTGTTATCAATGCAATCTCTTATTTGAACACAAAACACACACAGACAGACACACACACACACACCCTTCACTGCTATCAAGTCAATTCTGACCTTATAGGACAGAGCAGAACTGTCCCCTTGGGTTTCTGAGACTTTTCATCTTTCTGCCTCACCTCCATCCCTGTCTTTTAATCTTATGCATAATATAAACAGACAGAGACATGGACATTGGGGAAACAGGTGATAAGGATGTGGGATAGTAATACACAGGCCTTTCTCGTTTTTTATTTTTATTTATTTTTTTGGCATTAAGTCCATTGGTTGCCACCCAGTCCACTGACCCTAACGACCCCATATGGCAGAGGAGAACTGCCCCTAGCATTTACAGAAGCAGATTGCCACGTGCTTCTTCTACAGAGATGCTGGTGGGTTTGCAGCGGAGCTCTGAACTACTGCTCTACCGGGGCTCCTTCTGTTACATTATGACTTGAATAAAAATACTCAGAAGCTCATTATTAAAAAGCAGAAAACAGGCACATAAATGGGACTCAGTTTTTCCCATAGGCAAGGAAAAGATGGGCTCACTTGCTGAGAAATAGGACGACACACTGAATGACAGAAATAAAAGCCCAACTCACCTGTAACTTGGTCATTTTTCTGCTCCTTTTCGGAGGGAAAGGCTGAGACCTGAGAAGGCAGAGTAAGGTGATGAGAGAGAAGCCACGAGAGAAAGGCAGCCAAGTGTGTGCGAACTAGGAGCCGGAGATGTCGTCGTGCCCCCCCCCCCCCCCCACAGCCACACCTGGAGCCAAGTGCCGCCTGCACTCCAGCTCCGGGTTAGGTTGGGGTCTCTGGAGAAGCAGAACCACTGACACACACACACACACACACACACACACACAGAGGAAGCTAGACCGAAAGCGACATCTACAGCAAGAAACTGCCCCCCCACAATTATAGGAGTGAGAAAGTCCAGTGGAGTTCAGGTGCATGTGTCCAATGTTAAGCTAGAGGCTTCTTGCAAAGCTGTGGGAGCTGATGGACCAGGAAGCAGGCAGACAAAGTAGGAAAGTCACAGCAGAGGCAGATGACTCCAAGGTCAGCAGGTCAGGCTGTGGCTGCCAAGTCCAATGAGTCCAAGGTCAGCGTGTCAGACCGCAGGCTGCTGATGGTGCCCGAGCTTGGCAGGCAACCTGGTAAGCCTTTGCTTCAAGTCCAAAGGACTGGAGGTGGATGAGCCAGATGCAGGCACCAGATCCAGCATGAAGTGACCTAGCTTCCCCGCCACAGCATCTACTCTATAGGAAGTCGGCCATACTCCCGAGAAAATATCATCAGGGCTGTGACGTCCTCAAGGGAATTGCATTCCACCCTAATCTTATAACTGATTGGCTGCTCACAGCAGATCCTACTTGCAGTTCATTACACTGTGTTAGGTAACATCAGGGGGCATTACTAGACTTTAACTGTCAACCCTGAGAATCCTGACAAAGCCAAGTTGACACAACTCTAGTTGTGTCAGACAACCCAGCCTGATGTGCCCAGTAGCTCCCATGCCCCTTGAAGCTCCCAAGATACTAATTATGGTCCTGGGAGGACTTAGAATGTAGATGTAACGGCTTAGACTCACGACAGAATGCCTATGTTAAAACCCTAGCACTGCGAAGGTGGCTGAGTGACCTTGTATTTAGCCTCTGTATTTCAGTTCAGGAATTTACAAAATCAGAATCGTCTAGTACTATAATCATACTGCTTGTTGTTAGTATCATAGGTGCTAGGAATGGAAAGCGGTTACAACTATACCAGGGTTCTCTATTTCCTTACCACTGCAGAGACCAAAAATCTCACTGCTATCAAGTCAATTCCAATTCACAGTGACCTGTGTTGCATAATGAGACAGTTCTTAAAAATAAGTGTTGTGAAGAATTCTGGACAACAGAGAGTATTGTTGTCCCTGGAGAGTCACCTGGGACTCCTAGAATGTCCATGGCTCTGACTTCTTTATATAACAAGCTGTTGCCCTGGTAATATGATTTCTTTAGACGTTGCAACCTTTCTTCTAAAAAGGTTAATGACTGGTGAATAGTCTTCCTGAAGCCAGAGAGGCTCAATGGCACATGCCAACAAAAGACCAACGAAAATGGTGAGTGGCTGTATTTCTCAGGTAGAGAATGTGATCTGTCTCAACAATGCCACACAGGGCTTGGCTAGGAGATTATGTTGCTCATCTATGTAGTGTTGGCCAACTGCTTGACTCTTTCTACCACTGTTTCCCAAATGGGCACTACTGCCTCCTGAGGGATGCTGGAATGATCCAGAGGGCTGCAAAAGCAGATACCTACCCTTTATCTTGGATTATGGGCAACTGCACAAAAGTTTTTAATTGCCAGGTGGGTGCTGAGTTATTTTATTTGTTCTGAAAAGGAGCGGTGGGCCAAATAAGTTTGGGAACCTGTGCCTTGGATGATTGGGAGACCAGGAGCTCACTTTCTTGAGCTCTTCCAAGTGGTTAATTACCTTGTTCTCAAGCAAGTTCAAGGTCATCCATGCAGGAGCAAGAACTCAAATAAGGGTAAAACATGGGCCGTGTGTAAGACAGAGCCTTTTAGCACCATCTTAAAGAGAGACCTTCTATTATTCTGGTGGGACCCTGACAGCCTTCCACATCCCTGCTCACGTGGGCTAGGGCTACTGTAAGAGCCACAAAGTGTATGCCTGGTTTTCTCAACAAGCCCCATGAGTAATAACTTTGGCTGCATAATTAGCCGTGAAAAACTGAGCTTTCTGTCATCGGCCTAATATTTATGGATCACCTTCTAAATAGGAATATAGTTCCCAGAGCTCGAATTGTTCACCCCTTGTGTGGGAAATCTATGAGAACATCAGTCGTCATGTTACACATGCTGGAGTAGAGTCTCCTTTGTGGGGACCATGGGGGGGGGGACCCCAAATGTAGACTGGATGAGGGAGCACTTCAGATGGGCTCAATGGAGAAAATGGGAGCCGGCCTCCGTCTCTGAAAGAGGGAAACCCTCCAAACGCTGAAGCAGCATGAGGGTCAGCGGGCCCCCTGGCAAAAAAGTGGTGAGCGAGCAAGGGCCCAAGCATGAGCGGAAGGGGTATGGCTTCCTTCAACCCTTCCAACAACCCGAGACTCGGGACAATCCGTAACTCCGTCTGACATGTGTGGACATTGAGTAATGGAGATGTGTACGTCTCTTGCTCAGGATGATCCATTTAGTTAGCAGACTAGACAGAATTTGTAGCCCAGAGCCTGTGTCCTTAACTCAACCTGACCTCAGTGGGGCAGCTGGGGCATCTTAGAAAAGAATGCCAAGGGGGGGAAAATAATAATAAAAAAAAGAAAGAAAAGAATGCCAAGGGCCCTGCTCTCTGTCCAGAAGCTATACATGAGGCACTGTGGAGGGCGAGGATTTGGGAATGCCGCCCAGATGGCTACAATGATCAGCAAGAGATGAAAGCCACAGATTATTCCACGAATAGAGGTCATCTGCAACCCATGAAATTAACCACTACACCATTCCATTTCTTAAGGAATAAAATGAATCCCCAGAAGGCTACACGATTAGGATCATCAAAATACCCAATACGTGCTAGCCATTGTATCATCCTCATTACTGTCATCATGAAAGAAATACAGAAGCCACACATGAGCTGTGCTTTGTTCCCAGGTGAATTTATTTGTGAACAAGTAGTCACAGCTGTACATCACCCTTTGGACATCTGGAAAAACCGGTGGCTTTAGCATCTCACTAAAAACAGATTTGAGATACTGAGATTGAGAGAAAAGAGAGAATGTGTTGTATTATAGGTGGATCTCCTGTAAAAGACCCCTCTAAAGGGTTAAGAAGCAAAGAAGACCCTTTGAGGACTAAGGTGGGCCTGACTCAAGCCATGGTATTTTCAATCACCTCCTATGCATGTGAAAGATGGACGGTGCACAAGAAAGATGGAAGAAGAAGCGATGCCTATGAATGGTGGTGTTGGTGAACAATTTTAACTGTATCATGGACTGTCAGAAAAATGCACAGAGCTGTCTTGGAAAACATACGGCCAGAAGCACGGGCAGCAAGACTTTATCTCGTGCACTCTGGACATGTGATCAGGAAGGACCAGTCCTGGGGGAAGGACAGACATCATGCTTTGTAAAGCAGAAGGTCAATGACAAAGAGGATGGCGCTCAACTGTATGCACTGACACAGCGGCTGCAACAATGGGTCCAAACAGCAAACATTGTCATGATGGCCCACAGCCCTGGCTTGTACATAAGGTCGCTCTGCGTCAGAACCAAGTCAACATCGCTTAACAACAACCTAACAACATTTCTCCTGACATTTGATTCTAATCTTCTGCTGACTCTTAGAAACCATAAACCATAAAGAGATATGCAATAATGTCTGCCGATCAGTAAGCCTGGCAATGAGAACATTGAGACGGTCCACATCACATCACATCACAACACAACATAACACCAGTCCCTATAATGGAAACCTGCTGCTGAGTGGAAGCGATTGATTAGAAACAAAGAAGAAACAAGGAGTGGAAGCATCAGGTCAACAAAATTGATCAAAATGGAAAGCGTGTTCATCTGCTTCTCCATGGAGAGTTTTAGAAAGGCCAGTGAGGTCGTTGGTAATAGTATTCTTCAGGTTTTTGCAATACATACTGATCTCTGGTCTATCCTGTTGCTTTCTAAGGAAGGTGCTGCAATCCCCACATCTAATTCGGGCCTTTTCTATTTCTTCTTTCAGTTCTATCAGCTTTTCTTCATGTGTTTTGAAGTTGGGCTGTTTTGTGAACACTTTTAGGATTTTTGTGTCTCCTTGGTAAACTTCGGCATGGCATAGGCTCTCTCTTTGCCCCTGCTTTGTCTGCTATTATTATAAAGGGCTATTGGCTTGCTATATCTCTTTCTATCCTTTTACTTTTAGCAAATCTCTGGAGTCTTTGACTAATGCCTGCCTACTAACCAAAAGGGTGCAAATTCAAGTTCATTCAGAAGTGCCTGGAAAGAAAGACCTAGCAATCAACACCCGCAAATGCAGCCATTGCAAACCCTCGGAAGCACAGTTCTCCTCTGCCACACACCAGGCCACCAGGAGTTAGAATCAACTCAATGGCAGGGAGTAGGCCTCATATCTAACGTGAGTGTTCTTACCCAACACACACTTAATTCTTGCTTTGTTTTTCTTTTTTGAGAACAGGCGACCTTTTTATTTTGCTTCTCAAACAGAAAGTATGGTCATTCTGATGGCAGGTGCACCTGATGTGCGCATCCGAGTTTGTAACAGCATCCAGGCCCGCTCTGTCGAATTCCCAATGAGGAGAAACACTGGTTTCATTTTCCTTGGACAACTCATTGGCACGGCATCCGGTCTGAGCGGGTGTGGATGCAGTGCACCATGTACAGGCAGAGACAGCTCCGGGTGGTTGCTGCAGACCCAGGCCATCCGGGGGCAGCTTGGCAATGCTTGGAGGGGATGGGACGGGGAGGAGGGTGCAGGGTGTGAGCAGCAAGGGGATCATCCTGGGGTGGGGGCGAGAAGGAAGAGTTAGTTGGCTACCATATGTATTGTTGGATTTGGTCTGGGCCCTGCCACACTACCTGGACCTCACCCCAAGTTCTTCCTTTTTAAAATTCAAATTTACAATGTCTTTTAATTGATGTACTCAGGCCAGTCGCAGTCAATGTAATAATTCATTTAGCTGGAAATAGGTCTACTGTTTCATTATTACTACTATTTTCTGTTTAACCCTTCTGTTTTTGTTCCTCTGATCAACTCTTTTCTTCTTTCTTATTTGAATAATTCTTCAGCTTTTGGCTATATCTCTAAGTACTTTTTTTTTATTTTAAGAAATTGCTCTAGCTCAGGGGTCCTCAACCTTCCTAATGCCATGATCCTTTAATACAATTCCTCATGTTGTGGTGACCCCCCCAACCATAAAATTATTTTTGTTGCCACTTCATCACTGTCATTTTGCTACTGTTATAAATCGGGCGACCCCTGTGAAAGGGTCATTCGACCTCCAAAGGGGTTGTGACCCACAGGTTGAGAACTGTGGCTCTAGAGACTATATATATGGAGCTAATCTTTTACAGCCAACCTAGTTATTTACAGTCAGCCTACATTCACACTAAAATGTAGAAGCTTTACACCAAATAACTACCTTGATTTGATGTGATAGCTTTTACATGCATTTCTCTACCTAAAATGAAAATTCCAGTAAACAAATTATAACGTCCCTTTCAACAGTCACGTATTAAGAGAAGTAGTGTACATTTACTGAAAAATGTGTTACTTCCATTGTTCTTTTGTCATTCTGAAGCTCCTCATTTCCATCTGGTACCATTTCCCTTCAGCTTAAAGTTCTTCCTTTAGCACTTCTTTAAGCATCGGTAGCACAACACACACACACACACACACACACACACACACACACACGCCTTCATTTCTGAAGGAAACTTTCACTGGATAAAGAATTTGAGATCGACCCATTTCTTAAAGGTGTTGTTCTGATGTTTTCTAGTGTCCAGTATGTCCCACGAGAAATCTGCAGAGAGCAGGATGCTTTCTTGCTGCATTAAAGAACTTTTCTTTATTGTTGATTTTCAGAGGCTTGATGATGATGACCCAGGAGTGATTTTCTCTGAGTAGGCTGTATTTGGTATTCATTGAGCTTTTGGAATCTATGAAGTGAGTCCCATCAAATTTCGGAGTTTTCAGCCATTTCTTCCATACACATTTTCCTCTCCTCTCCTCCTGAGACACCAATAACAAGACTATGTGACTTCAAAATAAATAAATAAATAAAATGAAAATGAAAAAAGACTATATGATTTCTTCAGATTGTCCTGGAGGTCTCTCAGGCTCATTTGTCCAATGCTTTCTTCACTCTGCCGCTCAGAACGCATGATTTATATCCATCCGCTTCCAAGTTCATTGATTCTTTTCCCGCTTCCATCTGCCATTGGGGCCATTCTTTACTTCACATACTGCATCTTCCATCCGACGAGCCTTAAAAGCTTTTTAAGAACAGAAGTCAAGCAAAGTATATTCCCTGATCATAATAAATTAAACAAGACATCAATAACCAGATGATACCTGGACAATCTCCAGACAATCAGAAATTAAACTACATACTTCGAGCAACGGCTTGAGTCGAATGTCACAAAAGACATGCCAGGGCATGTTTAATCAAATCAAAATGAAGCTGCACTGTCAAAATGTGTGTGCTGCAGGCAGACTCCATTTTATTTAAAAGTGGATAGCAATAAGATATGTATTAGAAGAGAGGTCTTAAATCAGTTGCTCAAGTCGCCAGCGTCAGAACTACAAAATGGCAAATCAAACCGAAACCAGACAAGCAAACAAAGTACCCAATACACAAGCCAGAAATCAATGACACTGAAAGTCAACATGGGCCAGGAGCCAGTGAACTGGGAAACACAGAAACATGAGACAGGATCAGGGTTCAGCCAACTAGGACTCAGGGTCTAAATCCAGCCCGTTTGTTTTTGTAGCCGGTCATTTAAAAAATATTTTTCAGCGGTGAAAAGAATATGACATGTAAAAATCCTATCCAAACGTCAGTGTCCAGACAGCTTGGCTGGAACGCAGCACATTCAGTGGTTTATGGGCTGCTACGGGTTGCAGTTTCCCAGTGCAACCGCCGAGCTCAGTAGCTGTGACCGAGACTATAGGTAGCACTCTCATTTCTTTGTCCTGTTGCTAAGCACGGTACGATTAACGGAACTGCGTGTGTGGAATAATACAGGCAAACACATTTTCAATGTGGGGGAAACCAAGCATTACTTCACTACAATCATAAGTGGAGTCTCTTTTTTAAAAAAAGGTCACTGCCATCAAGTATGTTCAGACTCATCGCAACACTACAGGACAGCGTATAGTTGCCCCTCTGGGTCTCTTTAGTGCAAATCTCTACGGGAGCAGAAATCCCCGCCTTTCTTTCACAGAGCAGCTGTAGCAGCCCAACATGTGACCCCCTCTGGAATTCACTCAGCTGGTAGGTTTGAACTGCCAACTTGCGGTTAGCAGCCCAGGGCCTCCCCCACGCTCAAAGGCTCAGCACAGGAAAAGCTCGTTGTGATTTTCTTCTTAAGTGTGGGGCTGAAAGTGAGCTGTTCCTGAGTGGGAAGAATTGTCCTCAGTCACTAATCCGGAACACTGGGTAGCTTTGGGAATTCGTTTTTTGCTGCAGACTTGGTGTTTCTTAGTGCATTCAGCCTAATAGTTAAGGCTTATTTGTGAAACTTATGCATGCTGCAGTAAAATCACTCCAACCACAACCACAACAACAAATCATTCCAGCAACTAGCATTGTCTGAATCCCAAATAATGACACACTACTTTCTATATTTCCAATGTCGCTAAAAGCTAAAGCTAATGAGATCTCTATTTGCATGTAAATCTGGACCATATATGTGTTCTAATCAGATCCACCCAGATAAATCCGGACAATCCCTCACTTAATCACCTCTGCAAATCTCTGGTACCATGTAAAATAACACATTTACAGGTCCTGGGGATTAAGAGATGGGCATCTTTGTGGAGGTATGATCTGGGTACCACACCTTCGGTCATTAATCTGCTGTCAAAAATCACATTTTTATAGCACTTATTTGTATAAAAAGACATTCCCAGAGATAAAATATATAAAATCTCATTCCAGATCAAATGAACACTTACAGGCAGTTTTTGATAGGGAATACTAACCTTGATCTTCAATTAAGCAAAATATTATCACACAAAAAGAATTCCATTCTTCTTTTAGTACACCTGTATTAAAAAAAAAAAAGATAATCCTTACATTTACATTTTTTCAATAAAGATGTGTGAGCATTTATTTTCTTTATATATTTAAGTGCCTAAACAATACTCCCCCCCCCCCCCTTTGTCTGGTAAAGCTAAAAGGGATTTACAGTCTAGCTTTTTACAGAATGTGGATCCCTGGTGGTGGTGTGGTTATGGTTGGACTGCGATCGGCCAGGTCAGCAGTTCAAAACCAGCAGTTGCTCCTCAGGAGATAGATGGGGGTTTCCACTCCCATAAACAGTTACACTCTCCAAAATCCCCAACGGCAGCTCTACCCTGTCTTATCAGGTTGCTGAGTCAGCACTGACTCAATGGCAGTGAGTGTGGATTTTGTTTTTACAATAAGCTTGCTGACCCCTGGACAAAATGAAACAAAGAGTGGGCTCTTTAAAAAGTATCAATAAAACTGGTAAAATTTTGGCCAGGCTGACAAACAGGGAAATACAAAAATTTACTAAAATCAGGAATTAAAGAGGGGACATGACTACAGACTCAGCAGATACTGAAAGAGTAATAAGGTAATGAATGGATCACAGATCTAAATATAAAACCTAAAATGCTAAGATTTTAAGGGCGGGGGGCAGAAAATCTTAACAGCAAGAGCACAATGCATAAAAAAATAAATGAAATACATAAATAGGTGGACTTTGTCAAATTTTAAAAGTAGACTCAAGATGCTGCATTCTACATCAATTTCATTCATGACATTATGAAAAAAGGATTTCCTGGGGTTAACGAGGGAGAAGAAAGTTTGACTATAAAAGGATAACATGAGACTAATTGGGGGTACGGAAGAGGGGGAGTGATGGACCTATTTTGTATCTTGATTGTGGTGGTTACCCTGGCAATGAATTTGTCAAAACTGAGAACTGCACACCAAAATGAATACATTCTACCAATGTAGGTTTCACTGAGCATCGATTTTCTCTGGCTCCCACATCCCTTTAGTGTTCAGCAGCTTAATTATGATGTGTCTGGGGGTGGGTTGCTATGAGTTTATCCTTTTAGGACTTGATCCATTCTTTCCAAAGGAGCCTATAGGTCCACCTTTTAAGAAACCAGAATAGTTAAATGAACTTACATCAAGTAAAAGGAAGAGAAAAAAGTTAAAAGTAGGAACCAATGAAGTAGAAATATAATCGATAAAATCAACCCATGAATCAAAAACAGTGATGACGCTCTAGCTGTAAAGAATGAGAGGTGGCAGAAATGACCAATATTAGAAATGAAAATATGTACATCGACTACAGAATATGCAGACATGAAAGAAATAATAAAGGTAGCCCGAGTGAGTTTAATCACCAGCCTTTCAGTTGGCAGTCAAGCACTTAACCAGTGTGCTACCATGACTCCTTGGCAGATTCTACAGCCTACCAATATTAAGGCACATCTCCATAGGTTATTGCTATTCCGTTTTGCCACAAAATTCCAATGTTAAGAATTCTGCACTGAAGCCCCTTAATGCTAGTTACTTCTTAGGTGGCTAACAGTAATGACTCTTCTACCAACCTTGTACTGCCTGCTGGGAATATAGGGGAAAACAGCATGAAATAGGAAGATACAGTAAGAAACAAAGCACTACCAGATGAGCAAATCAAATGCTGTGCATGCCCTGATTCCAACACATCACCTCCCCTAGCCTAACTGCAATTCCTATATCCCTTAGCTTTCCCAAGTCCCTCCTCCAAGCTGCAAAGAATGAAAACCGGAGAGTAGTCGTTAACATCTTTTCTTGGTCTTTGATGTCAACAAAGGATGACAATCCGTTGGTATACCATGTTGTTGTTGGGTGCCATCAAGTCAGTTCTGGCTCACAACAACTCTCCTCACAACTCCTGTTGCTCTATAGCAGGGGTCCTCAAACTTTTTAAACAGGGGGTCAGCTCACTGTCCCTCAGACCCGTTGGAGGGCCGGACTATAGTTAAAAAAACAACAAGGTATGAACAAATTCCTATGCACACTACACATATCTTATTTTGAAGTAAAAAAACTAATGGGGCAAAAACACCCGGCAGCCGGATAAATGTCCTCGGCAGGCCGCATGTGGCCCACGGGCTGTAGTTTGAGGACACCTGCTTACTGATTTATATACATTGGAGATTGGCTTTAAAATACTGAAGGCAAAATAGAGGGTAATTGATAGAAGATGTCAAATGTTGACAAGGGATGAAGTGGGTTTTTTAGGCTATCCCTATAACATTTCACTAGTTTATAAGGTTCTGTAGTACCCATCATAGGTGCCCTGGTGGTGGAGTGGTTATGTGTTGTGCTCAATCTGCACGGTTGGCAGTTCAGAACCACCAGCTGCTCCATGGGAGAAAGACTGGTTTTTCTACTCCCATAAAGTTACAGTCTTGGAAACCCACAGGGGGCGCTGTGAGTCAGCACTGACTTGATGGCATTAACGATGAGTACAGTACAATCCTAAGAAGAAGGTAAATCCTATGCTTACTATTAAATTCAAATATGATCTCAGTCTCTACTTCTCTTTCCTCACCTTTAAAATGGAAATAACAAAGTACTTACAGGGTGCAGTGTAGCAAAGATGAAACATACAACTTTCCTCTAGTTCCTAAATGCTTCCTCCCTGCCACTATCATGATCCGAATTCTACCTTACAAATCTGGCTAGACCAGAGGGTGTATACTGGTATAGATAGGAACTGGAAACACAGGGAATCCAGGACAGATGATCCCTTCAGGACCAGTGGTGAGAGTGGCGATACTGGGAGGGTGCAGGAAGGGTGGAGTAGAAAGAGGGAACCGGTTATAAGGATTTACATATAACCTCCTCCCTGCGGGGTGAACAACAGAAAAGTGGGTGAAGGGAGACATTGGACAGTGTAAGATATGACAAAATAATAACTTATAAACTATCAAGGGTTCATAAGGGAGTAGGGAGCGGTGAGGGAGGGGGAAAATGAGGAGCTGATGCCAGGGGTTTATGTGGAGATCAATGTTTTGAGAATGATGAGGGTAACGAATGTACAAATGTGCTTTATAAAATTGATGTATGTATGGGTTTATAAGAATTGTATGAGCCCCCAATAAAATGATTAAAAAACAAACACACAAAAACAACAACAAAAAGAAAGTACTTATAGACTCCCGTTCTTAAGGATTATATATGTTAATTCTCCTAAAACCCTTCAGATGGTCTTTAGTACTATACTATTGTTATTGATCACGCCCAAGGTCTCCACACAGCCCCAACATTTATTTGAAAAGCTATCTGAGGCAGAAGAGTTAGCTAGTGAGTGAAGGAAAAATATTCCCCAATTGAAAAAAGAGCAGGGAAAAAGAAGAAAAATATCCCACTGCCATCGAGTGGATTTGACTCATCGTGACCTGGTAAGATGGTGTAGAACTGCTCCAGTGGGTTTCTGAGGCTGGGCTCTTTCGGGGGCAAATGACCTCATCTTTCTTCGGCTGGTGGGTTTGAACCACACACTTCGTGGTCTGCAGCTCAAAGCAATCACCCACAGAGCTACCAGGATGGTAGCACTTTAAAGAAGGAAAAAAAGAAAAATCGCTGTTACCAACTTCATTCAGATGCACGGTGCTCCCATAGGCTAGAGGGGCATACACCTGTTCCTGTGAGTTTGTGAAGCTGTTAAAAATCTATTTTTTAAGCTGTAAAAATCTTGACAGGACCAGCAGCAGCATCTTTTCCTACTGGAGGGAGTGGTGGCTTTGAACGACTGGTGGGTGAGTAGCCGAATGTCTAACCCCCCACACCACCATGGCCTGGAACCACAGAGGCCAAATTTTACTTCCGTCTCTGCTGCCAGGAGTCTTGGGGGTCACAGGCTTTTTAAGACGTCACAAGAGAAATGAGGGGCTGTCCTGGAAAAATAGCAGTGGGCACCCCAAACCACAGCAGAGAATGCCCCATTTAAAAAAAAAAGGTAATTACTTTTTTTTTTGTTTAGGTGATTAATTTTTAAGAAACCAATCCGACGCCACCAGGACTCCAGGGACCACCTCGTTTCCTAGCGGGATCAGAGAGGGGTCGGGGCCAGTGGACCAAGCATTTCACCTGTCCGGTCTCAGCAAACTCGCACGACCACTGAGCAGGATGCTGACCCCCATCATCCAGCGGAGGAAACGCAGCCCGCGGGATGAGGATGCTCGCCGCCCAAGAGGACCCGCCGGGAAGCAGCAGGGCCAGCAGGTGATCCCGGGAGAAAGGCTTGGGACCGCGCTGATGCCGGGACCCCCATCCCAGCGCCGTCGGAGCCGCACCCGAGGATGCGCGAACCGCCCCCCACGGGAGAGACTCATTCAAAGCGAGCACAACCCCCCCTTGGCGGTGACCAAGGACTGTCCTCCCAGAGCCCGGGGCCGCTGGCCCTCAGTGACGTGCTCCCGGGATGAGGGACTCGGGCGGGGGAGGGCTCACCTTTCCGACAGAAAGGGGAGGGCTCACCTTTCTCAGAGGAACGCAGGCCGCGGGCTCGTGTCCCGGAAGCGGAAGTGACTCGGGCTCGCCAGGCCGCCTAGAACTACGTTTCCCAGCATTCCCGGTGGGAGCCGGCCGCGGCCTCGCGCTCCGGGCGCTGACAGGCTCCCACGGCGCTGAGCTCTCGGACTACATTTCCCAGAAGTCCCGGGAAAATCGGGGGCGAACTGGAATTCCAAAGCTCCCCTGTCCTTTAGGGGCAAAAGGTTTGTAAAAGCACTGGTCTCTGAGGATTCCCCAGAAAAGCCGAACGTTAAAGGCGTCTTTCATGGAGGAGAAGACTCAGACCCTGTACAGGTCTGGGACCACGGTGCCCAGGACCCTGCTAACAGCCTTTCCTGTTGAGTATTGGGATAATTCGATTCAGTTGCAATCACTTCTTTCTGGCCAGTTGACTTTGGTCCAGCGGTGTCACTGGGAGGGTGTCACAGGAGGGCATGGGGACCCTCCTGTGTGATACTGTCAGAAGGGGTGACCTAAATGTTTATTTAAAAAAAATTTTTCCCCTTGATACGACGATTAAAAAAAAAAGAAAGAAATTCCAAAAGAAGAAAGAAAGAAATGGGATAAACGATGGTACATTGAGGCGATTGCAATAGAGGAGTTGGAACAAAATGTGTATGAATTGTTGAATGATGATTTGCTCTGTAAATGTTCACCCAATTCACAATAAAAAGTTTCCGGGGGCGGGGGGAATGGGGGGGGGCAGTGTTTCAGCAGAAGTTTATCATTGTTCTTAAAATATTCCGTTACAACAACAAAAACATTTTTTAAAACTAAGCCCGGGTTCCATGTATCAAAATACTGCAAGGCTAAAATTCTAAGCTTATTTACCTTTTGAATCTAATATGCTCTGGTCAGAGCCGTCATTATTACCCAGGAGCAATACTGTCTCTAATCATGCGGTTTCATCTGCACGCCTTACAAGCCCGAGTTGCTGCCGAAATTTCTAGTCTGATTTTGTCCAATGTTCTGGTGTTTTAGCTACAATATTGTGGAATCCAGTACGTGGGGACTTACATCAATAACTTTTTTGAGAACGAAGTAATTAAAAATATGAAATGGTTTTATTGGCATATACTTAAGATATCATGCTACAATTTAATTGCTCAATCATTAAGAAGATTTGTGCAAGCATCACCACGATTTCAGAACATTTTCTTCTCATCCTCATTGTTGTTAACTCCCTGTTAACCTCTCCCCCCAAGCCCCCCAATTCCCCTATCCAGTTACTGTCTCTATCGATCTACCCATTCTTCATACTGGACTGAAGACCTATCAAAGGAAAAAGAGAAAGAGTAAGGAAAAAAAAAGGCTTCCCCTCAATTATGAATCATTCCTCAATGAGCAGTGTTATAATTTAATGAGTTTATAAAACAATTCTGTTGTTCATATTCACATAATCTGAGAATTGTCACATCGAAGGAGTGGACAACTGTGTCACATTTTATAATTGAAATCGGTGATAAATGTGGCTAGGGATGCTGGGGGTCGATAGAGGGTGAGGGGGTGGGGCCATGCCACCCTAGTGATGTCCTCATCCTTTTCCTCAACCATTCGCTTCCACTGTGACAAAAGGAATAAATAGGGGCATCAAATATTCCTTAAGTAGATGAGAACGGAAAATGAAAAGCAGATTATAAAGGGGAAGATAGGTGTGGGCTGCAACTGCAGATCTTGAAAGGGGGTCTCAACCTCAGACTGCATGTCTTGTTTTATTTAGTAGGTGCCCATATGGCTCTAGAACTCTACCAAGGTTACTTGGCATGAGCCATTCGTTCCGCAGTGCCCAGAACTCCCCCCCCCACACAATCAATGCACACTTGGCCTTAGATTATGTAGCCAAAGCAGCAACCGCTTTCAACGTTTCCTTGCCTTTAGTTGCTCATTAAGAAACATGATGCAAACCCCTCAGGACCAATAACGAGAGTAACAATACCAGGAGGGGGAGGGTGGAAAGGGGGAACTGATCACAATGATCTACATATAACCCCTTCTTTGGGAGGATGGACAGCAGAAAAGTGGGTGAAGGGAGACATCGGTCATTGTAAGACATGTAAAAAGAACGATCAATTATCAAGGGTGATGTCGGCAGTTTCTTGAGCAGGGAGAATGAACATGGAACACGAATAGACACACACAGACAAACTGAGACAGACACACAGAGGCAGACAGTACAGGGCTGCAACACAAATTAGACAACGACAGAGGCGGTACAAAACTGCCCCAGCCTTGATAGCCCGCAGTGCTTTATTATTTATCTACTGAATACTGGCAGTGTTCCCAGACAAGTTTGCTAGTCTCACACTTGAATTTCTCATAGCCTTGAGAGTGAGTTCCATATCTCGGCCCATACCGATGTTTTCATTTCAACCAGGGAAACACTGTATGCCGCTGTCTCCACAAATCATCTTACTGTTTGCAGTACGGATGCTGTTTATGAGAACCAATTAGGACAGACATTTGTGTACTGTCCTAGACAGATACAAGACTCTAGACACAGTGCTCCACTCACAGCTCCTTCACAAGGGTTCATGAGGGAAGGAGGTGGGGAAGAGGGGGAAATGAGTGGCTACCAAGTGCTCAGGTAGAAAGAAACTGTTTTGAAAATGATGATGGCAACATATATACAGATGTGCTTGACACAATGGATGGATGGATGGCTTGTGAAAAGAGCGTAAGAGCCCCCAATAAAATGATTTTTAAAAAGACCCCCCCCAAATGAAACGTGGTGCAAATGAACGAGTGGAAGGATATGCATTGACATGAGGAATTATTTTAATATAAAGAGATCTGTGTCAATGTGAACTTTCTGTTCATACTCAGCATGACTTCGCCACATCTCCCTTGTCCAGCTATCATGAGTGCAATAGTGACTTCGCTTATGCACTGTCTATACATTGTGCCCTTAATAACATTTTACCATATGTCTAGCAAGTAGAAGGTTTTTCTTTCACCTACATATTGATAAATAGAATCATACTCACTAAAAAAAAAGACCTAGTCACACCAGTAGGGTTACTTGCTGCCAATTGAGAAACAACGGAGGGTATGCATAGCTAGGTAAACGGGAGCTATGTCTATAACCTATACATACAATGATACTTCCACGGCATGTGTGTATTAAAAACACAGGGTCAGGAGTCAGGGTGGGAGGGTTCAAATCCAACTTCCTCTCCTTAGAAGCTGTGTGACCACAGGCCAGTGTCTTAAGCACTCTGTGCCTCACTCATTTCATCAGGAAAGGGGGATTAGTCAGAGCAATGATCTCAAAGACCAAACTGAGTCCATACTAATCTGTGCAGATACAGAAAGGTTTTTCTCCAGGTTGCCACCTCTTGCTAGGTACCATTAAGGTAGCACTATTCAGTTCACCGCATAGATAAACCAAGGCCAGGCCAGACAGAAGGAAAAAGGAAGTTTATTGTGTGCTTCCTGGGAGGGATTCATGAACTCCAGCAGGGAGTCAGAGAATCCCTGCTGCTGCCAGCGAGGGAGAGGAGAGAAGGGAAAGGGTAGAGGTGGGGAGCTCTGAACTCCTGGGCAAACTGGAGAGTATTAGCTGGTCAGGAGGCGGGAGGGTAAAGCAATAAAGGGAGGGGGTAGAAACCACAGGTGAGCAAATAAGGAGGGAGGGGAGAGGATTCCCAGTTGCAGAGGCTCTAATGGGTCTTGATCCATAAAAAGCCGGAGGCAGGGTGGTGCTTTGATTTCTGTTTGACACCTAGGTAGATGGCTCATTGATCTGCGACCCCCTGGAATTATCCGACTTGGTCCCATAGGGGCAGGCAGACTTTTCTTAATGTCCTTCGACCTGTACCTGACCCAACAAGCACTATTATAGGATGATATTGTGGGGATGATTTTTATACAGGAGAATGTGACTGGGGGTGGGAAACTAACACTGAGGGAAATAGGGCGAGGACTCTAGTCCCTAACCTATCACCAGAGGGAATCTGGAAAGCTGGTCTTCCACAGCAGGAAAGCCCCCACTTTGGTCAGTTAGAGATAAAGTCCAAGTCCATGGTCCTGCTTTAAATATCGTTCCCACAGATTCTCCCCTAACAACTGCCTTCAAGTGAGCACAGGGTGGATTTTATCTCCCTCTAGAAGCAGACATCCTTTTGTTATCTCCTCCCGCTGTGTCATCCACCTCCCTCCTACTTCCCCCAATGCAGGGATTAGGTTTCCTCACCTGTGAGCTCAGGGACCTTAATGTAGATACCACCCACCTTTGTGAAGCACGTAACTACTGAATAGGCATGTCTTAAGGCTACCTATAAGTGTCCCAAGAGAGTAAAGGGTCTCCATCCCTCCTCCCAGTTCCACGTGGTCCATCAAGAGGAGCTGAGGTGAGCATGCTACCATACAATGTGTCTCACTCCTTCATTTTGCTCTCTCTGCTATCTTTCTTATCCTGTATGACTTGGCTATCATCTTTATATATCATCGCCGTACATTTGCACCTTCTGGCCCTTTGGCTGTTAGAGGCTGCTTTCCTCTGACCATTGGGATTCATCTTCAACTCACAAGTGTGAAGGCCTCCCTCCACCCAGAATCTTGGCCTGCCAGGCTTCTTAACTGTGAGCACAGAGATTTTGTCCACATACACTCTCTTCCCCGTCCTCAGTTTCCCACAAGCGGCCCTCAACTTTTGGCGGTCCCATGCACCATAAGATGGGACTGTTGTGATGCTGTAGGATGCTCACTGACTGACCTTCAGAAGTAGATTGCCACGCCTTTCTTCCTAGTCTCTCTTAATCTAGAAGCTCTGCTGAAAGCTGTT